AATGAAGGAATAAAGGGAAGGAGGGGAGAGAGAAAGGGACAGAATATTTTTTAAAGGAAAATGCATTTGATAAACTAACCTACCAAAATAGAATAGCTTAGCCAACCTTACCTTAAACATGCTTAGAACACTTACACAAACTTGTAGTTGGGCAAAATCACCTAATATTTTTAAGGCCTGTTTAGAATAAAGAGTTTAATATCTTGTTTATTTTATTGAAAGTAAAAAAAAGTCATGGTTGTATGGGTAAGCTTTCACACTGCAATAAAGGAAAAGAAATCTTAAATCATGCCATCCTAAGTCAGGAATCCTTGTATATTATATTCTGAAATTATAAAAGAATCACCTTTTAATGAGCCCAGTTTCTTTTCATTAAGCTCCTCAAGTAGAGCAAAGCTGCTATTGGTTGAGGTTGTTTATGTGGCAAATAACAAAATCCTACTACTAGCTCCTGTAGATGAACACTACTAATCCAGGGTGGTTTAGTCCAGACTTGGGCTCATTTTTCTGCAGTTCAGAATTCTGCCTGCCTCTGTATGCTGGCTTTATTCCTGGTCTGGAATTCCTGCTCACAAAATGACTGCCAGCAGCATTCATAGAGCTTCTTCATTAACACCCAAGGACAGAACGAAGGCCAAGGTCAGCTTCTAGAACCATCATTTACAAGTCCCAAGCTTCAGTCTCATTGGACTAACCCTGATACAATTTTGGTAGCTCAGGGAATACAATCCTTTGATTGACTTAAACCTGTATCTGGATGACAAAGAAATTCAATTACTCTAAGCAGTTAGAGCAATCAGGGCCCTCCTCTACATCTATAGATGAGGGCTGCTGTTCCTAGACATCATGGTTGTCACTTAAGAGAGCTGAAATGGATGTAAGAGAAATAATTTCAAGGTGTGAAATAAATAAAAGATCATTTGAGCAATTTAGTACACTGTTCCTAAATTTTTATTTTATTTTATTTTATTTTTTTTTTTTTTGCATTTTGAACTGATCGCTTACTCTACTACATTAAACTCATTTCAAGTAAAATACACTGTAGCATCCAAGCACAGTCATGGACTGAGAGTCAGCTAATGCATAGCAAGAGATTAACAGGACTGCCAGGATCTCTTGGTTGCCGGTCCTGTTTCTTTCTCTTTCCACTTCTCCTGATATTCCTCTCCATCAATTTTCCCAATAATCTTTTCTTTTTGAATTTTCTTTCTTCAATTTATGATCTTATTTTTATTCTCTCAATATGTATTTTAATATTTGCAGAAATAACAGGATATAAAGCAAAACATTTTCTGACATCTCACAATGTTATCTCAAACCTCAAAGGTGTTGGAACAGGTGATAGAATCATCTGAGGGTGGCACTAGACATGTCCCCTCAAGATTAGTAAGAGAGTCAAAACCATCCTTTACTTATCTCCGCAGCAGCCTATAAAAGAGAAAACTGGAGATTCATTAAAGACAAAGTTATTCAAAGGTGAATTTTTATGTCGAGATGAGAGGCATGCTGTCACCTACCTGAGCCAACTGAAACAGACTTTGAATGAATGACTCAGAGACCTGCCTATCAGAGGGGGAAGATGGTATCTTATTCCCACGCTGGTCATTTACCAAGATCCGCAATCTTGAAATTTAGTGGGGATGGGGCAGAGAATAAAAGAGTAAAAGAGCAGCCATTGCCCATTTTCCCTTCTGCTGAACCTAAGCTTTGGGACAGAATTGAGTTAGGGGGCAGTGACCCTACCTAAGATGTTTTCAGGAAGTGAGGAAGAAAGGTCCTAAAGAATATTAAGTTAATTATATAAGCAGTGTTTAATGTTTTACATTACTTTTTAAAATTCCATTTACATGTTTAAGAGAAAGTGAATGCCAGACCAACAGAGTGCCCTTCCTTTGGGTCATAGTACAAATGCTCACAAAGGCCTTGGGGTGGGCCTGGGGTGAAAACAGAGAGCTGGGAACTCAATCTGGTCCATCGTATTTTTAATGTGAAGAAAAAAGCGGGTTTATAATTGTACCTGACTTCATTCTATTTAATAAATTAACTATACTAATATAAAACACCATGCATATGCCTTCAATACCCTATCAGTGCACACCTAGATAATACACCATTTGGGTCTGTAAGAAACACACTGCTCAAAGGCAGCAGTGTGAAATAAGTGAAATAAGAGGCTGTGTGCAATGATGTAGGCAAGGCTAAGGGAATGAAACCAATCAAAGGTGGCAGAGCAAGCAATATCAGGAAATTCAGCACCCCTTGGAGAAGAGTGGCTGCCCAAGCACAGAGAGTGAAGAAGCTGAGATATTCTTGCTTATACTTTGGATTCCAGTGGCCAAGAAGGACCAAGCAGAGTGTTGGGTGCAAAGCAGGATGGAAAAAGACAAAGAGTTCACTGGGATTTGCAAATGATGAATAGTCAGCATATAATATATATAAATATTTTTATATTGGAAAATGTAACATATTATCCACTAGAATTTTATAGAATGATGTGCCATTTTTTCATTGACTTCTTTTGGCAAAAATGGAGTTACATTCCTCAAAACGGAAAAAATATTAACCTCAGGTGAACAAAATCAGACATAAGAGCACAGAAAATATGCTGAAACACAAATGTTACTCACATATAATGAATATGGACATTTACTAGAAATTAATCGCCAAAATAGATCTCAAATTTTTTATAAGATTTATTTACTTATTTTGAAAGACAGACTTTATAGAGTTGGAAGGGAGAGACAGAGATCTTCCATCCACTGGTCCACTCTCCAAATGGCCACAATGGCCTGAGCTAGGCAGTGCTAAAGTCAGGAGCCAAGAGCTTCCTCCTGGTCTCCCACATGGAGGACCATGCTTGGTCTCCCACAGGGGACCAAGCACTTTGACTATTCTCTGGATGCTTTCCCAAGCACATTAGCAGGGAGCAGGATTGGAAGTAGAGCAGCTGGGACTCGAACCAGTGCCCATATGGCATACTGGCATCACAGTCAGCAGCTTTATCTGCTGTGCCATGATGCTGGCCCAGATCTCAAAATTAAATGGCTGCAAGAAACAGAGATCTATGGAAGACCACAAATGGGCCAAAAGCCTCAAGACCGCTTCAGCCCATGACAACAAAGTAGTGTCTACTCCTAAAGTATTTACCACCTCTTCTACATATTTGCTAAGACAGACCTTCAATGGTACATTTTCCAACATCTGTAGTTGAAAAGCATTTATATGCCCTTAGGAAAACAGGAATCTTTGTCCTTCCCATCATATCAAAAGACCATTTTCCCTCTTTGTGTCATTTTTCCATTATTCTCTGTATTCTTATCTACGTGAACGTAAAACGGGTCACCTACACTTTCAACATTTCAATTCAACTAAGCTCAGAGTTGTGTTCCTCTATAGCTCTGGGAAGCTTTATTCCCTACCCCACTCATAAACATACACCCTCCCACACTCTTCCTGCCGAAAGAAATCCTTATGAAGATTCAGTTGTGTGGGGAGCAACTCGGACTAGACTAAGTTACTGGAATTAAGACTTATTCTATGCATCTGCTCTCCCACAATATGGCGCTGGGAGAGGAGGAAACAGCTTCTACACAGCTGCCTCCAGTTCAACCAATAAACAGCAGGACCTGCTCCTGATTGGAGGAGAGCAGCGTATTCGGCGTGTGGGCAGCCGAGTTGGGATTGGTGGAAGAGGACTATAAAGGAGGAGAGAGACAACATGCACCAGGAACATCTATCTGAAGGAACACCTGAGGAACATCTGAGCAGCCCCTGAGAGAGCCAGCTGGCGGTGTGCCGCTCCCCCGCGGAAGTGGGGAAAGTGGCAGGGGGAACCGCCCTTCCACGGAGGTGGAAGGTACGGTAGCCAACCCGGAAAGAACCAGCAGCAAACCCGGGAAGGGCCGAGCAGACAAAAGAACAGCGCAGGGTCCTGTGTCGTTTCTCCGCGAAGAGGGGGAGCAACACAGTTGAAATGTCATCTCTCAAACCATAGTGTACCTTCCACCCTGACTCTGGCCAACATAATTAAACCTCCCCTCAGAAGTCAGATAATGAACATCAAACTACAGATAGGTAGAAATTCCAGTGTTCTATACCATAGTAGGGTGACTACAGTTTACAACAATTTACTATATATTTCACAAGAATCTACTAGAGGGTCCAGTGTAGTGGTGCAGCAGATTAAGACACCACCTGGGATTCTGGCATTTCATACTGGAGCTCCTGTTCAAATCCTAGTTGCTTTGCTTCCAATACAGCTCCCTGCTAATGCACCTGGGAAGATCGCAGAAGATGGCCCCAGTATTTGCAGCACTGCCACCCATATGGGAGACCTGGAGGGAGTTTCAGGCTCCTGGCTTCAGCCTGGCCCAGTCCCGGCCTTTGCACCACTTGGACAGTGAACCACTGGTTGGAAGATCTCTTTCTCTCTGTCTCCCCCTCTCTGTCATTCTATTTCAAATAAATTAAATAATCCTTCAACACAACAAAACAAATCAAAACAAAGAACTCACAGAGTTTTAAGGCTGACAGCACAGTGATTATAAATGTTAGAAATCCTAATTACCATTGTGGCATAGCATGTTAGGCTGCCATTTGCAAAGCCAGAATTCCATTTGGGAGCTATTTCAAATTCCAGTGGTTCTACACCTGATCGAATTCCTTTCTAATATGCCTAGGACAACAGTGAAAGAGGACCCAAGCAGATGGGTCACGTGGGAGACCTGGATGAAGCTCCTGGTTCCTAGCTTCAACTTGGACCAGCCTTGACCATTGCAGCCACTTGGGGAATGGACTAGCAAATGGGAGATCTCTCTCTCTCTCTCTCTCTCTCTGTAACTTTTCCTTTCAAATAAATAAATCTTTTTTTAAAAAATACTAATTACCCTGATTTGACCATTACACATTATAGACATACATCAAAGTAGAACACTGTTATGCCATAAAAATATACAAAAATTACATGTCAATTAAAAATAAAATGAAGAATATCCTCATACCTCTATTCATCTGGTTTCAGTCCACTAACTTTAGGATAGTCCTTATCAACTCTTCATCAGGTAACGCTTTATATGACTTCATTCTCCTTTAGACTGTTAGCTCCTGGAGGCAGAAAACATGCCATTCATCTTTAAATCCCCAGTGGCAAGGAAAGATACATAATTCATAATGAAAGATAGACAAGAACATCTGAAAGTTTTCAAGAAGTTTCTTAAGGTTTTGTAACCATAAAAAGTAGCCCTTCTCCCCTCCCCCTGTGTTCACTGCAACATCACAGCCAGGGCTACACAGTACTGGCAGAAGTCTGGGCTTCCCTGTTTGTGCCAAAGACCCAGAAAGTGTGTGAAGGCCACCTCAAAATCCCTTCAAAACAAATACAAGGAATAACATGTAATAAATTAAGACCTTTTTGGCCACTTAATTCTTAGTCAAATTTTGTATGTCAAGTTGCCTTCACAGGAGAGGTGACTGTTTATTAAAACCTTCCTGTTTATGAATGAGCAATGAGTTGGCTGTGTTTATGAACTTGGTTGTTGCTACAACACATTTACACAGTTACAAATAAAGCAAACTATTGAGATTAGCAGTGGATGATGTGAAGTTTGACTTCTCAAGAAGATTCTCCCAGTCTAGTAAAATCCCTAAAATCTATTTAGCCTAGACTAAATGGCTTCTCCCACCCCAAAAATGCCCCCAGCAAGCGCAATGGCATTGCTTACAGACTACTGAGACCACTGATGTCACTTTGCTTTATTTTTTTAAAGATTTATTTATTTATTTGAAAGTCAGAGTTACACAGAGAGGAGAGGCAGAGAGAGCAAGAGCCAGAGTGAGAGCGAGAGAGAGAGAGGTCTTCCATCCCCTGGTTCACTCCCCAATTGGCCACAATGGCCACAGCTGTGCCGATCCAAATCCAGTAGTTTCTTCTGGGACTCCCACATCAGTGCAGGGACCCAAGGACCTGATACATCTTCCACTGTTTTCCCAGGCCATAGCAGAGAGCTGGATCAGAAGAGGAACAGCTGGTTCTTGAACTGGCGCCCATACGGAATGCCAGAGGTTCAGGCCAGGGCATTAACAAACTGTGCCACTGCACCGGCCCTGTGTCACTTTCCTTTTAAAAGACCAAGCCCTAAAGTCTTAGAGTTTCTTTTGCATTCAGTAAAGATGGAGCCAAGCGCAGAAGAGAAGTCTCTATGAACTTCAAGGGTTCCCTTCTGGCTCCACTTCTCCTCGAGTCATGTTTACCGTTCACGTTGAATAAGTTACTCAGCACATGGAAATTTCCTCTTATTTGTAACCAATTGTTCAATGAAGCAGCTTTGTAAACTATAAAGGGCTTCAACACTTCACTTGTTTTCTTGCCTGGGGTGGGGACACTTCTTCAACAGTTCTCAACCCAGACTCACAGAGCTATCTACCACTGAGGAAGGACTTCCCCAATATCTGAAGCAGCATGTTAACATGAAAAGCATGTAATTTAGATAAAGGGTTAGGTCTAAATTCTGACTATGATACCACATCTGGGATGGAAGAGCACAGGATACAAACTTTAAGGCTATACATTCTCAAGTGTCTCCCTAGACCTGCGTGATCCATCACAACCTGTGTGACTTACTGAAGGGAAATACACATAACATAAATTAACCACTTTTTTTTTTGACAGGCAGAGTGGACAGTGAGAGAGAGAGACAGAGAGAAAGGTCTTCCTTTTGCTGTTGGTTCACCCTCCAATGGCTGCCGCGGCCAGTGTACTGCGGCCGGTGCGCTGCAGCTGGCGCACCGCGCTGATCTGAAGGCAAGAGCCAGGTGCTCCTCCTGGTCTCCCATGGGGTGCAGGGCCCAAGCACTTGGGCCATCCTCCACTGCACTCCCTGGCCACAGCAGAGAGCTGGCCTGGAAGAGGGGCAACCGGGACAGAATCCAGTGCCCGGACCAGGACTAGAACCCGGTGTGCTGGCACCGCTAGGCGGAGGACTAGCCTATTGAGCCGTGGCGCCGGCCAACCACTTTCAACCATACAATTCAATGGCATTTAATACAGCCACAGTATTGAACACTATCACTTCGATCTAGCTCCAAAACATTTCATCACCCCAACCGCAGGAAGAGAAGCTGCTGTCTAGGAACTTGCAAGAGTTTTCAAAAGAAAAGTCCACACCTATCCAGCAGTTACTGCCCATTCTGCATCCTACCCTCCCAGCCCTCAGAAACCACCGGCATCCTTTATATTTTAATGGATTCACCAATTCTAGTATAACATATATTCTGAGTAATAGTACTAATAGCTAACTGCCCATGCTAACATACAATTTGAAGAGTATTATGTGCATTAATTCAATGAATCCTACAAAAACCCAGTGAGGTGTGTACTAATATCCTCAAATAAATGACTTATTTAATTATTTGATCATTTTTCTTCATCTGTCAGAGAAAATAGCAACACATCAACAACTTATTAAGCATAGTTATATAAGAACAATTCTTGAATGGTAAAAGGGATCTTTCTCTCACTAAGTGGGAGTGACTTCCTGTAGAAGAGAAGCTATGTTCTTGAGATGGCTTACTTGGACACGGTGATCATTGAATAATGATGTCTGCATAGACAGAGGACAGGATGTAGAGTGGCCAATACAGATTTAGATAGATAGATAGATAGATAGATAGATAATATATAGGGGTCTATATAATATATATTTGCTGTCCCTCAGAGTCAACTGAAGAGAAAGAAACAAACCAGTGAAATATAGATGCTACCACAGTCCAGAACAAAAAGGAAACATTTCCCAGATAAGTACAGGGATGTGGAAGAGGCAGGTATTACAGGGTTAAGAGTAGACACATTATATTTAGCAAAAAAAATGTCATATTCAAATCTTAACTCTGCAACTCATAAATAAATCTTGACAACATTATTTGACCTTTACCATTTTTATTTTCTCTTTTGTTAAATAGATAATAAATCTACTCCACGTAGTTCTGGTGGGAATGGCCTGAGATAATGTAAATAAACTAGTACACAAAGTATCTGATTCACAAATGGTTAGGAAATAACATTCTTCATATGTATATAACGTTCTTAATATCTATAACACATATTACATATTGTATTTTATTTATTTTTGAAAGGCAAAGAGACAACAGAGAGAGATTTCCACCCATTGGCTCATTTCCCAAATGCCTGCAACAATTAGGACTGACCAGGCCAAAGCCCGGAGACTTAGGCTCCCTCTGGATCTCCTACTTGGGTGACAGGGGCCCAACTACTTAAACCATCACATGCTGCCTATCTAGGGTGTGTATTATCAGGAAGCTATAATTAAAAGCAGAGCCAGGACCTGAACCCAGTTATTCCTGTATGAGATGCAAACATCCCAAACCGTGTCCTAGTTGCTGCACCAAACACCTGCCCCTACATTATATATTGTATACAAATATATTACATATCTAAGTGTACTTCCAAAAGTTCACGGAAAATAGAGCTAAAAGGTAAGTTTATTTTGGTGCAAAAAGTTTTGAAATTCATGTATTTTTTCATAATGAACGTTTTCCATGACACCCTGAATTTTAAAATTTTTACACCAAAATAAACTTTTCAATGCTATTTTCTCATGACATTTTTAAAGTACCATAATGTATAGCATATATAATATATATGGCATATATTATTTTGTGTACTACTTATATTACAAGAGCTTTCACAGAAGCAGAGCCGCTCAAGGACATTCTCAAAAGAACATGTAATATACCAGCCTTAGTCTACTGTTGTGAAGGATTTGGTGACATAATTTATTTAAAGCATTTAGCACAATACCTGCAGTACACAAGTGTTAGGTAACTATTTCATCATTATTCTGAATCTTTCAGAGTTCTTGATGGCAAACAACAGAAGCTATATCCACCTAAGGTTTGCAGAGCAGAGATTTCTTGGAAGGGTCTCAGAGAGCACACTGAACTAGCATAAGGCAAGAACCAAGAGATTATGATTAGACAGCAAAAGCTATTTCAAGCAGAACAAGACTATATGGATTCTAATCTGTCTCTATCATTTTGAGGTATGTAACCTTCAACAAATTACTTAATTTCTAAATGTTTCAGTTTCCATTTCATAAATATAAGTAAAATATACTATCAACCCCCTCATAATGTTATTTGAGGATTAATGTATGTAAAAAGAAACATAAAAAATTGGGATTCTTGCTTATATAGCAATTAGAATGATACATGGCACATTATAAGCACTAAATAAATATTAGCTTTATTTAAACTTAAAAATTATTTAGCAATTGTTAATTTTCAATAACTAGAATTACCCACAAAGTATGAGCTTAGATTACTTAACTATAGCCATATAATGCAATAAATATGTTTACTGCCTTCTGAAAGTGCAGTCCCCGGAAGCTGGGCATAACAATAGGGAGTTAAGGCCTGCGCCACAGCTCTCTTGGCTAATCCTTCGCCTGCGGCACTGGCACCCCAAGTTCTAGTCCCGGTTGGGGCGCCAGATTCTGTCCCAGTTGCTCCTCTTCCAGTCCAACTCTCTGCTGGGGCTGGGAGGGCAGTGGAGGATGGCCCAAATGCTTGGGCCCTGCACTCGCACGGGAGACCAGGAGGAAGCTCCTCGCTCCTGGCTTCAGATCAGCGCAGCACGACAGCCACGGCACGCTGGCCATAGCGGCCATTTGGGGGGTGAACCAATGGAAAGGAAGACCTTTCTCTCTGTCTCTCTCTCTCACTGTCTAACTCTGCCTGTCAAAAAAAAAAAAAAAAAAAGAGAGAGAGAGAGAGAGAAAAAAAGAGTACGGAGTTAATACACTCATCATAATCACACATCTTCACAAAGGTAACAAAAGGAGAAACTTGATAGTGACATAACAACAACAACAAAAAAACAGGAAGATGGGAAGGGTGGAGGAAGAGAGCTAGAGCCTCATATATCTTCTATTATCTGCTACAGCAAAGAAGAATATAGATAAAATTTAAAGACAAAATTCAAAATGCGTGGTCCATACATATTTACTTACAATTATAAAACAAAAAACATAGCCTACCTCTGCAGAGGTACTAGGATGGAGAAGGATAGAACAATGAAAGTTCTTTCATCCTATATAAACTCCCCTTTGACAATTTTTTCTTTCTTTTAAAAAGAAACGTACAAAAAAATTCCCTAAACCATCTGTACCTTCTAACTTTAGGTTTAAAAAGTATAATATTTTATAAAAACTAAGTCTGTTACATTTTCATAAAATGTATATTTATAACCTAAAAAATTAGTATCAGTAAACTCTTGTACTCATGTTCACATTGCCTAGTAATCATTTTCAAGAAATTGTGGGATCTCTCTCCTATTGGTCTCCCCTACATCCCACAAATGGCCAAAATAACTACATTTAAAATAATTTACTAATGAACATACAATTTTAAAAGATGTAAATTATGACATCAGTAATACAAAATGTGTTGGGAGGAAAGGTTAAACATATAGAAATTTTGCTGACATCAAATTGTCATCAGAACGAACCAAACCATTATAACTATAAGCTATTTAATGTAAGGCTTGTGATAATGACAAAGAAAAAACCTATCCAAACTATACAAATAAGCAGAAAATAAAGAGAAAGGAAATCAAAGCATACCAGGACCAAAAATCATTCAACACAAAGGAAGACAGCAAGAAAGGAACAAATAATATAATAATAGAGACATTATATTATTACTAAAATTATAGTTTAAAATGGAAACAGCTAATCTTCACCTACCAAAAATTGCTTTAAATGCAGGCAAAGCAATGTCGTTACTTATCAATAGTCATTTTGAATGCAAATAGCCTCAACTCTCCAGTAAAAAGAGACAGATGGCTGAATGAATTAAAAAACAAAACCTGTCTGCCTACAAGAAACACATCTCACCAACAAAGATGCTTGCAGACTGAAAGTGAAAGGATGGAAAAAGATATTCCATGCTAACAGAAAACAAAAATAAGCTGGTGTAGCCATCTTGATATCAGACAAAATAGACTTTAACACAAAACTATTAAAAGAAAGAAAAAGGCCAGCTCCGCGGCTCACTAGGCTAATTCTCTGCCTTGCGGCGCCAGCATACCGGGTTCTAGTCCTGGTTGGGGAGCCGGATTCTGTCCCGGTTGCCCCTCTTCCAGGCCAGCTCTCTGCTGTGGCCAGGGAGTGCAGTGGAAGATGGCCCAAGTGCTTGGGCCCTGCACCCCATGGGAGACCAGAAGAAGTACCTGGCTCCTGCCATCAAATCAGCGAGGTGCGCCGGCCTTAGCATGCCGGCCGTGGCAGCCATTGGAGGGTGAACCAACGGCAAAGGAAGACCTTTCTCTCTGTCTCTCTCTCTCACTGTCCACTCTGCCTGTCAAAAAAAAAAAAAAAAAGAAAAAGAAACAAAGAAAGGAACCATGTAATGAGTAAGTGATCAATTCAAAAGAAAGATGTAACCATTATAAATGTATATGTACCTAATTACATGGCAACTGACTATTTAAAAGAAATATTAAATTATTTAAAGGGAGAAATAGAATCAAATACAACAGTAATGGGGGTCTTCAATATCCCACACTCAGCAATGGACAGATCAACCAGACAGAAAATCATCAAGGAAACAATAGAATTAACTGACACTACATATGAAATGGAACTAACAGATATCTACAGAACTTTTTATCCTACAGTTGCAGAATGCACATTCTTCTCACAAGTGCATGGAACTTTCTCCAGGAATGACCACATGCTAGGCCATAAAGCAAGTCTCAGAAAATTCAAAAAAGTCAAAATCATATCACACATCTCCTCAGACCACAATGCAATGAAGCTAGAAATCAGCAACTCAGGAATCTCTAGAAGATACGCAAACACATGCTCCTGAAGAACAGTGGGTCACAAAAGAAATCAAAAAATTTCTAGAAACAAATGAAGTTGACAATACAACACATCAAAACTTATAGGATACAGCAAAAGCAATGTTAAGAGAAAAGTTTATAGCAACTGGTGCCTACATCAAGAAATTGGAAAGGAACCAAATAAATAAGCTATCACTGCATCTCAAGGATCTATAAAACAACAGCAATCCAAACCCAAAACTAGTAAGAGAAAGAAAGAATTAAAATTAGAGAAGACAAAGAAAATTGAAACAAAAAAAAAATAATACAAAAGATCACGAAAACAAAGAACTGTTTTTTTGAAAAAATAAAGAAAATTGACACATCATTGGCCCAACTAATCAAAAAGAGGAGAGAGAAGACCCAAATTAATAAAATTAAAGAAAAAAGGAAATGTACAATAGACACTACAGACAAAAAAGGAATCATCAGAAATTATTTCAAAGCACTATATGCCAACAAACCGGGACATCTAGAAGAGATGGATAGATTTCTGGACACATACAAACTACCTAAATTAAGCCATGAAGACATAAAAAAACCTAAATAGACCCATAACCAACTAGAAATTGAATCAATAATAAAGACCCTCACGACAAAGATAACCACAGGACCAAGTGGCCTCAATGATGAATTCTACCAGACATTAAAAGAAGAACTAACTCCAATTCTTCTCAAGCTATTCCTAACAATAGAAAGGGAGGGAATCCTCCCAAATTCTTTCTATGAAGCCAGTATCACATTAATTCCTTACCCTAAAAAAGATGCAACAGAGAAAGAGAACTACGGACCAATTTCCCTGATGAACACAGATGCAAAAATCTTCAAAAAATTCTAGCAATTGAATCTAACAACACATCAGAAATATCATGTACCCAGACCAAGTAGGATATATCCCTAGTATATAGGGATGGTTCAACATTCACAAATCAATAAATCTAATACATCACATTAACAAATGTAGAAAAAAATGATTCTCTCAGTAGATACAGAGAAGCATTTGATAAAGTACAACACCCTTTCATGAAGAAAACTCTAAGCAAATTGGGTGTAGAAGGAACATTCCTCAACTCAATAAAGGCAATTTATTACAAACCCATGGACAGTGTCCTATTGAATGGGGGAAAAGTTGGAAGCATTAGCACTCAGATCCAGAAACAGACAAGGATACCCACTCTCAACACTGCTATTCAATATAGTCCTGGAAGTTTTAGCCAGAGCCATTAGGCAAGAAAAAGAAACCAAAGGGATACAAATTGGAAGGAGGAAGTCAAACTATCCCAGTTTGCAGATTACATGATTCTATATAAAGGAGATCCAAAAGATTCCACTAAACTCATAATAGTTTGGTAAAGTATCAGGATATAAAATCAACACACAAAAATCAACAGCCTTCATATACATGCCATGGCTCAGAAAGAACTTCTAAGATCAATCCCATTAACATTAGCTACAAAAAATCAAATAACTTCAAATAAATTTTACCAAGGATGTCAAGATCTCTATGATGAGAATTATAAAACATTAAAGAAAAAATAGACAAGGCTACAAAAAAATAGAAAAATCTTCCATGTTCATACTTCCAATATACTCTTCTCTGAAGTGGGGGAGAGAACATCCACTTTGCTTATGACCGAATCCAAAAACCAATGGAATCTATGGTCACAAAAGGCTTCCATAGCCTTGGCAGCCTATGGCAAGAGCCTCAGGTGATCACTGACATCATAAATAAGAGTGTTAATTGTTAAAGGAACAACAGAAGTACTGTGCACTTACTCCCCAAGTAGGACCTCCATGCCTAATGAGTTGTATTATGAGAATCGACTGCAAATTTTGCACCCAAACTGTACTCTATATGCTGTGTGTGTGCATGGGTGTAAACTATTGAAATCTATGTTGGTCCTCTGTATATAAAATCAAACTAAAAATGAACCATAATGAATGAAGGAGATGGGGGAGGGAGAGGGAGGTGGGATGGGAGTTGGGGGAGGAGGGTGGGTAATGGGGTTGGGAGTTCCACTATATTCCTAAAGTTGTATCTATGAAAAATGAATTCACTAAATACAAACTTAAAAAATATTCATACTTCCAAAAGGAATTTACAGATTCTATGCAATACCAATCAAAATACCAGGGACATTCTTCTGAGATATGGAAAAAATGATGCTGAAATTCATATGGAAACCCAGAAGAGCCCTAATAGCTAAAGCAATCTTATACAACAAAACAAAATCTTATACAACAAAAACAAAGCCAGAGGCATCATAATACTAGATCTCAAGACATACTACAAGGTATTTACAATCAAAACAGCCTGGTGCTGGTACAAAAACAGATGGCTGGACCAATGGAAAAGAATAGAAATGTCAGGAATCAATCCAAGCATCCAAAACCAACTTATCTTTGACCAAAGAGCTAAAACCAACCCCTGGAGCAAGGACAATCTCTTTAAAAAATGGTGCTGGAAAACTGGATTTCCACATGCAAAAGTATGAAGCAAGAACCCTACCTTATGCCTTACACAAAAATCCACTCAAAATGGATTAAAGGTCTAAATCTATGACCCAATACCATCAAGTTATTAGAGAACATTGGGTAAACCATGCAAGCCATGGGCACAGACAAATAGTTCTTGGAAAAGACGACAGAGACATAAGCAATAACAGCAAAAATTAACAAATGGGATTACATCAAGTTGATAAATCATTATACTACAAAAGAAACAGGATAGTGAGGAGGCAACTGAAAGAATGGGAGAAATTATTTGCAAACTATGCAACTGATAAAGGATCAATAAGCAGAATATGTAAAGAGATCAAGAAACTCAACAGCAAAACAAACAGTGAGAGGAAGAAATGGGCAAGTGAGAGTTAAGAAATGGGCAAGGGGCTGGCACTGTGGCGTAGTGGGTAAGGCCCCCACCTGCAGTGCAGGCAATCTATTTGGGTGCTGCTTCGAGTCCAGGCCACTCCATTACCAATCCAGCTCTCTGTTATGGCCTTGGAAATCAGTAGAAGATGGTCCAAGTCCTTAGGCCACTGACCCGCATGGGAGACTTGGAGAGAGCTCTTGGCTCCTGACTTCACATCGGCTCAGCTCCAGCCATTGCAGCATTTTGGGGAGTGAATATACAGATGTAAGATCTCTCTCTCTCTCCCCCTCCCTCCCTCCCTCCCTCCCTCTCTCTCTCTGTCTCTCTTTCTCTCTGTTTGCCTCTCCTTCTCTCTCTGTGAAACTCTGACTTTCAAATAAATAAATAAATCTTTTTTTATTTAGTAAATATAAATTTCCAAAGTACAGTTTATGGATTACAATGGCTTACCCCACCCCATAATTTACCTCCCACTCACACCCCTCCCATCTCCCGCTCCCTCTCCCATTCCATTCGCATCAAGATTCATTTTCAATTATCTTTTTATACAGAAGATCAATTCAGTATATATTAAGTAAAGATTTCATCAGTTTGCACCCACACAGAAACACAAAGTGTAAAATACTGTTTCAGTACTAGTTATAGCATTACTACACATTGGACAACACATTAAGGACAGATCCCACGTGAGAAGTAAGTACACAGTGACTCCTGTTGTTGACTTAACAATTAGACACTCTTGTTTATGGCGTCAGTAATCTCCCTAGGCTCTAGTCATGAGTTGCCAAGGCTATGGAAGCCTTTTGGGTTCGCCGACTTTGATCTTATTCAGATAGGGTCATAGTCAAAGTGGAAGTTCTCTCCTCCCTTCAAAGAAAGGTACCTCCTTCTTTGATGGCCCTGTTCTTTCCACTGGGATCTCACTCACAGAGATCTTTCATTTAGGTGTGTTTCTTGTTTCTTGTTGTTGTTGTTGTTGTTTTTGTTGTTTTTGTTGTTTTTTTTTGCCAGAGTGTCTTGGCTTTCCATGCCTAAAATACTCTCATGGGCTCTTCAGCCAGATCTGAATGCCTTAAGGGCTGATTCTGAGGCCAGAGTGCTATTTAGGACATCTGCCATTCTATGAGTCTGCTGTGTATCCCACTTCCCATGATGGATCATTCTCTCCCTTTTTGATTCTATCAGTTAGTATTAGCAGACACTAGTCTTGTTTGTGTGATCCCTTTGACTCTTAGACCTATCAGTGTGATCCATTGTGAACTGAAATTGATCACAATAGATGCTGGAGAGGATGTGGGGAAAAAGGGACACTAACCCACTGTTGGTGGGAATGCAAACTGGTTAAGCCACTATGGAAGTCAGTCTGGAGATTCCTCAGAAACTTGAATATAACCCTACCATACATCCCAGCCATACCACTCCTTGGAATTTACCCAAAGGAAATGAAATTGGCAAACAAAAAAGCTGTCTGCACCTTAATGTTTATTGCAGCTCAATTCACAATAGCTAAGACCTGGAACGAACCCAAATGCCCATCAATAGTAGACTGGATAAAGAAATTATGGGACATGTACTCTGTAGAATACTATACAGCAGTCAAAAACAGTGAAATCCGGTCATTTTCAACAAGATGGAGGAATCTGGAAAACATTATGCTGAGTGAAATAAGCCAGTCCCAGAGGGACAAATATCATATGTTCTCCCTGATCAGTGACAACTAACTGAGCACCAAAGGGGGAAACCTGTTGAAGTGAAATGGACACTATGAGAAACAGTGACTTTATCAGCCCTTGCCCTGACTGTTGATGTACAATGTAATACTTTATCCATTTTAGTATTTTTTTTGTTCTAGTACTATTGGTTGAACTCTGTGATTAACACACAATTATTGTTAGGTGTTTAAATTTTAACTGAAAAGTGATCCCTGTTAAATATAAGAGTGGGAATAAGAGAGGGAGGAGATATACAATTTGGGACATGCTCAATCGGACTTGCCCCAAATGGTGGAGTTAGAAACGTGCCAGGGGATTCCAATGCAATCCCATCAAGGTGGCATGTACCAATGCCATCTCACTAGTCAAAGTGATAAATACATAAATCTTTAAAAAAAGAAGTTGGCAAAGGACTTAAACAGACATTTTTGAAAAGAGGAAATCCAAATGGCCAACAGATGCATGAAAAAATTCTCAGGATCACTAGCCATCAAGGAAATACAAATCAAAACCACGCTGAGATTTCACCTCACCCCAATAAGAATGGCTTTCACACAGAAATTAACAAAAAACAAATGCTGGTAAGCATTTGAGGAAAAACCAACCCTAATCCACTGTTGGTTAGAATCTAAATTGGTTTTCACTATGGAAGACAGTATGGAGATAAATTAGAAATCTGAATATAGACCTACCATATGACCTAGACATCCCACTCCTGGGAATTTACCCAAGGAAAATGAAATCAGCATACGAAAGTTTCATATGCACCCCCACATTTATTGCAGCTCAATTCACAATAGCTAAGATATGGATTCAACCCAAATGCCATCAGTTGAAAACTGGGTAAACTGTAGGATATGTATACCATGGAATACTACACAGTGGTAAAAAAAAAAATGAAATCTGGTCATTTGCAACAAAATGGATGAATCTGGAAAACATCATATTTAGTGAAATAAGCCAGCCCCAGTCTCTCTGACCTATGATAACTAATAAAGCACCTAAAAAGCAATCTGTAGAAGTGAAATTGACACTTTGAGAAGCAATGATTTGAAAAGCCCTTGTCCTGACTGTTGAGGAACAGGGGTTTTTTTGTGTGTTTTTCTTTTCATACTATTTGTTGAACTCTTTACTTAATATAGAGTTAATAATATGTATATAAGGTCAATTGAAAATAGATCTCAGGGGGCTGGCACCATGGCACAGTAGGTTAATCCTCTACCTGCAGTGCCAGCATCCCATATAGTTGCCGGTTCTAGTCCCGGCTGCTCCTCTTCCAATCCAGCTCTCTGCTATGGCCTGGGATGGCAGTATAAGATGGCCCAAGTCCTTGGGCCCCTGCACCTACATGGGAGACCAGGAGGAAGCACCAGGCTTCTGGCTTTGGATCGGCGCAGCTCTGGCTGTTGCGGCCATTTGGGGAGTGAACCAATGGATGGAAGACCTTTCTCTCTGTCTCTTCCTCTCACTGTCTGTAACTCTATCTCAAATAAATAAATAAAATCTTTAAAAGAAAAAAAGAAAACAGATCTCAGTAAAAAAAAAAATAAGAGTGGGAACATGAGAGGGAGGAGGCAGAGGAGTGGGAGTATGGGTGGAAGGGTGAGCACAGTGGAAAGAATCACTATATTCCGAAAGTTATAATTATGAAGTGTATGAAGTTTGTAACTATAAAGCTGTATAGTTCTACATACATTCCTACAGACTTACTTCTAAGGGTATAGTATAAAAACTTGCTATGGGACCAAATCTCCTTAAGCTTTGTGGCAAAATACCATCTTAAGAGTTAAAGTGATTATATGGATGGAATTAAGCCTCTGGTAATAATAATAGGTAGAATTAAAAAGGAGTGAATGCTCTAACATAGGAAGAAGCAGTCCACACAGCAGCTCATAGAAGGACAATCACTTTAAATAGCACTTTGACCTTAGAATCAGTCTTTAAGGCATGCTGGTCTAGATGAAAAGCCCACGAGAGCATTTCAGACATGGAATGCGAAGACACAGAGGCAAAAAATGTCCTACATGAAGGACCTTGGTGGGTGAGACCCAGTGGAAAGAAGTGGTCATCAAAGAAAGATGTACTTTTCTCTGAAGGGAGGAGAGAACTTCCACTCTGCTTATGGTCTTGTCTAAATACTGATGGAGTTTGTGGATTTAGAAGGCTTCCATAGCCTAAGCAGCCCATGTCAAGAGCCTCGGGTGATCACTGACATCATACATAAGAGTGTTAATAGTTTAATTAACAACAGGAGTCACTGTGTACTAACTTCCCATGAAGGACCTCTATCCTCAAGGAGTCTATTATAATAACTAAGTGCTCACAAAAGATATATCATTATGGGGGCTTATTTAAAGTTAAATGTTTAAAAAAAAGGAAGTGAAATTAACTTCAAGATGCAATGACTTTGAACAGCCCTTGTCTTGACTATTGAGGAACAGTTTTGTTTTGTTTTCATGCAAATTGTTGAACTCTTTACTTAGTATAGAGTTGGTCTTCTGTGTATAAAGTCAGTTGAAAATGGATCTGAGTGGAGAATGGGCCTGGGAATGAGAGAGGGATGAGGAGGGGTGGGAGTGTGTGTGGCAGGGCGAATATAGAGGGCAGAATCACTATCTTCCTAAAATTGTACTTATGAAATGCATGAAGATTGTATGCCTTAAATAAAAGGTTACTTTGGGAAGAAAAAAAAAGAAATAATATTCAACCTTTAAATAGAAGAAAATCCTGCTATTTTCAATAACATGGGTATATCTGGAGTATATTATATTAAGTGAAATAAGCAAGACACAAAAAGAAAAATGTTCTCACTTATATGTGGAGTCTAACAAGGTCAAATTCGTAGAAACAAATTGTTTTTGTCAGTGCTGAAGCTTCTGGAAACTAAAATTGGTCAAAGGGTATAAAGTTGCCCAGGATGAATAAGTTCTACAAATCTAATGTACAGAATAGCAATTCTAGGTAACAACACTGAATTAAATACTCAAAATTTGCTAAAAGAGTACAAGGAAATGGTAACTATGTGAGACAATGGATATGGTAATTAACTTGGTCATGGTAACTCTTTAACAGAGTATACATAATCAAAACACCATATTGGGGGCCTACGTTGTGGTACAGGGCATTAAGCTAATGCTTACAATGCCAGAATCCTATATCAGAACAATGGTACATGTTGCAGCTACTTTGCTTCAGATTCAGCTCCCTGCTAATGTGTTGGGGGAAAGCGTAAGGTGATGACTCAAGTTCCTGGAACCTTAACACGCACACAGGATTCCCAGGTGGAATTCCTGGCTCCTAGTTTCAGCCTGGTCCAGATCTAGCTGCTGTAGCCATTTGGGGAGTGAGCTACTAGATGGAATATCTCTTTTTCTCTCTCCCTCTCCCTTTCTCCCTCTCTCTCTCTCTCCCCTCCTCCTCCTCCCTGTCAGTCTGAATTTCAAATAAATCTTTTAAAAAAAAAAACACATTGTACACCTTAAATATCATGTATTTTCAAAAAATTCACACAAAATAAAAGTAAAAGATAATGCATATTTTCCACGGCCTTT